TACACGCTGTAGTCGAAGAGAATCCTGGTAGTCTGTAAAGTTGGTTACGCGACGAAATTCGAGAAAGCCTGTTTTGTATGTTCAAATATTCGTTATGTAATCGTACAAAGTGTTAAGACAATTCATTTCGACTAAATTATCCTGAATATAAATTTTCGTAATCTTTAACTTTTAATTTCGTTAAATTCAATTTCAAATAATACATTCATTACACTAGTGTAGCAAGAGGAAATATTATTACAATATATAATCAAGAATAATCGTCAATCAATGAGTTTCACCAAGTTCGTCATTGTAGTTATTCTACGGCCAACTTGCATTGCCTACCAGGGTTTCGCTTCTCTACAACGGTGCACATCTCTTTCTGTTACCTATATGCAATTACAATCATCGTACACAACATTGTAGAAAAAACATGAGTATGAATAAAATGTATATATATATATATATATATATATATATTTATACATATATATATATATACATATACACACATATATATTTATTATATATATATATGTATAACGATAAATGTAAATATATCGTGAAATATATTTATATTTATATATACATATATAAACAAATATATATCGATATAGGTATCACAAGAGTATATCAAAAAATTAAGTTTCATGCTTGCTGATAGGCTGGTAGCAGTTGGGTGTTGGTAGTGCTCGAACAGAGTGGTGGTGGTGGTAGTGGTGGTGTTTTGTCGTGCAGTTATTTATACGATCGAATCACATCATTTTGTATTATTATTTTTTTTATTCTCTTTTATGTTTTCGTCGAAATTTGCAATTGCACGATCATCTTTCTTAATGCACGACATTTAACGAAATTGAGTTCTTTTTTTTTTTCTTCTTCAATTTCTGACTGCGACGTACAGAAAAGAGAAAGACGAGGGATCATGAAACGATGATGGAAATGATCGTGACACTTGAATAGTTGATCAAATCTTTCCAACGAGTGTCTTAACTAGTCACGCATACTTCTTTCGTCTGAACTGGCCGAGTTTCACGAATTTCGAAACTCTCGCGGAACTGTTTGCTCTTCAATTTCCAAAGCAAACGTTTTCATTCTTTTTCTCTTCGTACGTTGCTCGAGGAATATCCGAGGAATATCCGAGGAATTCTGACTAACTCTAGTTACCAACTGAGCTCTCGTGAATTCTGACGCAGAATGACCAGAGATACCATAATCACGAGTTTGTCGTTTCACACGAAAATTTTATGAAGATTTTTTTAAAGTCTACAGTTTCTTATGGTAATTATTTATATTTCCTTAGAATCTTTAAATTTCCTGAATCTTCCAAATTTTTCAAACTCGATAGATTTGCAAAATAGGTATAATATTATTATATGCTTGTAGATCTTTAGCTAAATTTCTAGAATGTTTTTTCTTTTTTCCTTCAAAATACGTATTTTCTTCACACATTTCTTTGATTTTTCTACTTTAGTTCCAGTGACAGACAAACGTCACGTCGAGTAGAATGTCCATCGCTTTGCAATGGATGGCACTCTAGAGCTATGAGGTCGTTTCGAAATTCGCCCGATTTGCTCGACTTCTCATCACGTGCGTCAAATTTCCATCGACACAAACGGATCACGTAGGTCACGGTCGACGAATATGAAAATTGTGCGAGTTCGCGAGCGGTCGTCCTTCCGTTCGTGTAGAGAAACGCGTGAAAGTGTTTCGCGAGCGTACGACGAAGACACGCGAATGCACGCACGTTTATTATTTATTCGCCCTGTGAATTTCTCTTTCTACTCGTTCCTATGTGGGTCCTCTTTGTCACCGCTCAACTGTAAAATAATTGCGAAAAGTGAACAAAAGTGAACAAATTTTTTTAGCAATTGCTCACGTCTCAATGTGAAAAAAAAGAAGGAATGGAAAATGAAATTTTGGAAGAGAAATCAACCCTCCCAATTTCTATTTTTTATTTCTGTACAATGCGAGGTATAAAAATGAGCTAAAATTGAAGACTACGTAGGAAAATGTCGTAAGTTTACTTATCAATTTCCTGGTTTTATGTCTTAGATCACTTATTTAGTATGTAAAATGTAGAATGTAAATTAGAATTGAACAATTTAAAATTAAGCAGCTTGTGTTAAGTTGGTTAAAAGATAAATAGTAGATTCGTAAAATTTTATGACAATAATGTTATAATAATTAACGATTTCGAAATATTTTTTCTCAACGGATAAAATATATGTTCAGTTCTATGATCAAACAAAATTTTAGAAATTCCAACGAATAATGCACAAAACGAGTTGTAAAAATGTCTCTCCTATAAAAAGGTAAAAAAATTGTGTCTCAACATATTTTTCCCCTGTAATCTTCGATCAAAGGTGTTATTTAAAAAGAAAAAACAACATGTAAAAAGAAAGTATTAAAAAGTATTAAGAAAAATAAGATAGATGGTTGAAATCGATCTGATACAGAGACGAGTATTCCAAATGACGCTTGAACGTTGTTCGTTCAACTAAAACTTGTCAGGGAGCCATTTCCTCGCGGATTTTCCGGTTCCCCTCGAGTCTCTTTGTTCGGTGAAAACTTCTGTCTACGTTTTCTATGCCGATTTACCGTCATCGATGGCGTCCCATTACCGATCAAGACTTTCATCCTACGAAGTTCCTACCTACAGCCTATTCTTCTATTCACTATCTACGTTCAGGATCCGATTGCACGTTTCTAATCTCTAATGATGGTCTCTATAACGATGGGATAGGATGAAACGAACTATCCTAGTACCTGTGTTCTGGTTTTACACTTCTGTATGCCGTTTCTACGGATTGGAATTTGCAGCGAAGGAACATCGCGAGTGTATACAGTGTTGCGCAAAAGTTTCTCACCAGACAGAATGAAGTTTCACTTTGTATTCCGAGAGGAACATCCAAAAGAATTTTAATTTCTTGCAGAGTTTAGGTCATTCAAATTCCACTCGTCGGATTTTTATACACTCGTGGGAAATTTAAAGGTGCACAAATACAGCGAAAAATGTATAAAACAAGATAGGAGCAGATTGTTGGAACAATTAATAACTGTATCAAATATTTTCGAAATGCAAATTTGTGTAAATTCCCATAGTTCTACTGATATAATATAATCAGTATTTCAGTAACAAATTTTTCTATCATTCATAAATTTCTCGAACTCGAGGAAGATATGAGATAAATTTTTCTTGTAATCTCTTTATATCTTCCGTTAAAATATTGAATGCATTTTCGCACGTTAAAATGATAAAAAAAAATTCGAGGATCGTAGCAGGATTAAAAATTCTTTCGATCTTGCGGTACGAAGTGAAATGTTTGTCTAATCAGGAACATTCGCGTACCACTGTACCTGACTATATAACCTATAACGCTACACTGTATTTCGATGTGAGTAAAGTGATCGTGCATGCCAAGACATCTATAATGTAAAAATACACTTTGACATATGTTCAGACGGTGTATATATAATTATAAATATTTGACGCTCAAGTTAAAATTAGTTCAACGTTTTTTTATAATTATATATACATTGCATAGATATTACAGTAGTCGTGCGTTGAATATAGTTAAGGACAAATCGAAAATAGCATGTGCAAGACATCTAAGAAAAAACACGTACACACCTATCGCTATTTCGACTAAGTTCGCTAACTCTAAGAGCAGTAAAAGGAAAAATTGATCTTGGTAAAAAACAGGGAGACAGAAAGAATTAAGAGATAGACAGATAGAGAAAGATATATGTATGTAATGTAATATATAGATGAACAGAAAGACAGAGATCTAAATTGGGAGAATTTCATGCCGAAGGGGATGATCGTATTCGATGGCTCGAAATTAGACGATTAAATGAAGATAATCTTTAATTTTAATTTTCAATGAGTATCGAATATGATTCTATTTTTATTTACGTACTTTGATTAAAAATGAAAAGTTTCGTTTGCATTTTTCAAGTCTTTTTAAATTAGAAGTTGCGATTAAGAATCAAAGAACATGCGAAGTTATAAAAATTGCCAATTGAAAATTAGGAACTTTCATTTCAAATTAAAAAATTACAAGATATAGATATTTTCGTTCCGTGTTCAATACGTTTGAAGTTCGCATATTTTCTTCAGTTTTGGGTTGAAAAAATTTTTTTGTCTTTTTGTGTTCAAGAAAGTAAGCAAATTCTGAGCCGATAATACTCAACCGGAATTTGTTCTATCTGTCGGGAACTAAAATTTTAATTAGAGAGATTTATCAACTAGCTCGTAATATTTAATCTAACTATTGGTACTACTTTTTACGATCCTGTCTATTAATTACTTTGCTGAATATCTGACGAATTGTACTCCAAATATTACACACTAAATACGTCACTATTTTATCTATTGATCTAATGCTAGATCTAATGAAACAAGACTACTGATGAATAAATATCTTTCTCTCATTTTCTGAAAAGAGAATCCCAACCCCAAAAGGAAAATTTTTACACGAGAGATTGTTTCAATTCAGTTCAAGAAAGATACATGAGGAGCGATCGAGATTTTTCAATTATACTTTTTTTTTTTTGAATTTATAGATCAATCAAAAAGATAGAATAAAATTAAAAAAAAAAAAATAAGTAGAAAAAAGATATCCCATTAAAGTCGACAGGCACTCAACGACTTCCCTCTTCCCGATGTGCAAACGAGTCGCCTCGAATCGCAACGACCGCGAAAGAACCGCGCGAGGATCTCGAAGAGAAACCTTGAAAAGTCCATCCATCTTGACCGGCGTTGAAAAATCCAAGAGCCACGTTAAAAGCCGCGAAATTTCAGTCCGGCGAGCGTACGGATGGAAATTTGCAAATTTGCATTGCCGCGGACATTTTAACGCCCGGAAGCTTTTAAAACACTCGAGATTCGTTAAGACAGGTCGGGCTGTTTAAGTTTTACGAGAGAAGTTCCACGGTCGAGGTATCCGTTCGCCGCGACTCGAAACGCTCGAAAAACGTTTCGCGAACATGAGACGTGAGAGAGCAGAAAGAGCAAAGAAATTAGAAATTTTCAAGTAAAATAAAACGAGACAGATCTCGATAAAGTTGAAAGAAAAAAAAACAGACAGAGAGAGAGAGAGAGAGAAGATCGAAAGTGAAAAAAAAAATAGACGAAAAAGTATCTGTGCGTGATAGACTTTTATGTGTTTGTGGTTTCGTTTAAATTTAAACTTACGAGGGGCCTGGCGCCCCAGTACCAGGATTTGACACGTTGCGTCAGCCCACCGAGCAGATGGGACCTCCAATCACCGAAACCTCCACCACCTCCACCCTCTGAGCTCCTTTCCTCCCTTCCTTCGTCCTCATCCTCCTCCATATCGCGATCCCTTTCCATTCCGCCTCCGCGTCTCCCATTACCGATCATCTCGGCGTCGCTACCATCGCAACCACCGTCGCTCTCCTGCGTCGCGACGCCGCGCCGGGAGAGAAACATCGAAAGCCACGTGTTAGCCCCGTGTCAGTCGGTACAACGTTACATTATAAGGGTATTTACTGTTTCGTCAAACGCGGATCGTCGAACCTTTTGTTCTCCTTGTTTCGTTCATTCGTTTTGCGTTTTGGGCGGTTCTAAAATTTGGGAGTTTTTCTTTCTAAGGGAAAGGGAAGGGTTAGATTTTGTGGATAAACAGGGTGTTATTGGTGGATGATTAATATTAAAGTGGATAATGTTAATGGTGGATTTAAATTAAGGTTTCAAGAGAGCTGTAGGGATTTAGGGAATTATCCTTAGTACGACTATTACGTATTCTATAATTGTTTACGAAATAACGATCTAGAGCTACACAGTCGGTGCTGTTATTTTAAATTAAATGTAAACGAGGATCTTCTCTAATCTCTAGGGTATTTTTCTAGAAATCTTCACGAAGTTAATGATGTTTCAATATCAAGTTATAGCTGTAGCTGTGTTTAACGAATCAGGAGAGGCAAATGAAACTACAAGATGAAAATCTAGATCAAAATTGGCACTTAACTAAATGCATGGTTTAATTGATCAGCTCAAGTATTTTCTACAGTAATGAAAAACTACTCTTGAAGATGATAATTTACTAGTGATATATGCTACATACATATATACATATATACTATATGTAAGACTATAATATGAATATCACATCTCCACTTGCATTTACTTCTCCTGATTTGACT